CATGACATTTATAAATAATATATATATATATATATATATATAAATAAGATGGATTTGAGTTAGGGTTTCTGTAAGTAGAATGAGATGAAAATGGATCTTAGTTGGGGAAAAACCCTCTTAGCATAAAAACTACGATCTCTCTCATTCCCTTGAGTTTGTTACTGTTATCTCTCCTTCTTTTATGACTCAACAATTATTTTATTTTATTTACTATTCATTTTTTTAATTTTTATATTGTGAAATTATGATTTTTTTATATTTTAAAAAAATAAAATTAACATAAGACATTGCAATATCTAATTTTTTAGGGTTTAGGGTTTATGCCTCTATTAACTTATTTTAAAAAAAGGAAATACTGTTAAAATATTTGTTAGAATAATTTATATTTATAAATATTGTTCAAAAATTATCTATATATATATATATATATATATATATATATATATTTTCTATGTATCTAAATACTTCTGTTTATATTAAAAAAATTATATATTTAAATATTTTCTCAGTATCGAATATACTAATTTTTTATATAAAAAATTATCTTATATTTCTATATTTCCATTTTTACATGTTTTTTATAATGGCCAAGGTATATTTGATCCTTCATCTTCAACATTACCTGTTAATGAAGATCATATTTTTGAGATTATTATTCAAACTCATGAGCAAGAGCGAGAAGACGCTAATGCTTAGAGGACTAGTATAACTATGAATATGTGGGTGAATGTTATTTTAGAGGATATGATATTATAAAGAATAATAATTATTATTATTTTTATTGTTATTTATTTAGACATTGTTGTTTTTTTATTATTTTTATCTTTGACTCTTTTTAAATTTGAATTTATGAAAAAAAAATTGAAATTTTATCATATGTCAAAAATTCACGAAAATTCTACAAAATCCACAAAGTCCCGTAAAATTCATTAAAATCCTGATTTAAAATTCTTACAGAATTCATTAAAATCCCAATTTAAAGTCTTGCATAATCCTTCAAAATCTTAAAAGTCATGAAAATCCTACAAATTCTTTTAAAATCCGCATGATTTTTTTTAAACCAAAAAAGTCCTTTAAAATTCTAGTCCAATACATCCCCTTAATTAGTGTATAAAATTTTAGAGAAATTTTAATGTATTCTTATATATTTAAAAGATTTTGAAATTATGTTTTTACAATACATGAACAGTTTGGTTTTAAAATTGTTTGATTTTTAGGATGTTTATCTTTTTCTTTTTAATACGTATATATTTTTTTTAAAATTCTTAATTAATATATATGTATATATATATAACATTTAGTTTTAGCAAGGATATTTTTGATATCCTATGAACTATGACGAATTAAGATTCTTCATACTTGTGTACAAATTATAAAGAGCAAGTTGAATAGAAAATTCATAAAATTTTTATCTACTTTAAACAAATAGTTTTTTATTGTATTTTTTTTAAAATTATTTTAATTTTTTATAAAATGATTCAAAACAGATGGATTGATATTTGATGAGAAGAAAGAGTTACTTAAATTATCTATTTATCAATAACACATTGTTTGTTGTAGAGGAAAAAATGAAAGTAAAAAAATAATCTATACATATTTTACGTTATTTTTATTAATTTAAAAAATTAATTATACTAAAATACTCTAATTTACAAGAGTACTAGTAACTCCAAGTAAAACTTGTTAAATAAGATAATGACTTTCACATAAATTTCAAAGTAGATCCTTTATTGTCTCCTAAAGCCATCAAAATTAAAAGAAGGACAAGGTGAATGGAGAGACGAAGGTAGATAATGGAAATTAAAATGAAGATAAAGTAGAGATAGATAGACATTTTGTTTGATTTTACATCTTAATGAAATGCGATTATAAGAAGTCAATAGTTATAACTTTAGTATCCAAAACGTGATTTTTATTTCTCAATGTGTTTCCAAACACGCAAAAAGCAGAATGTAGAAGATTTCAAAGTTGTGTGATTTTTAATAAATTTTAACTAATAATATAAAAAATATACTTAAAAAATTTGTTGCTAGCATTTTTCTTGATTATGTCAATTTTCATAATATTTTTAAAGAGAGAAGATAATCATTTTAGTTCCTAAAAGTAGTGAGTATTTTAAAAATATATCAAATAATCTTTAAAATATCAACTAATAAGTCTCTAAATTTAACTATTTATTATTATTTTAATCTCTAAACATATATTAACATTCTAACTTTAATTATATAACTTTTTTAAAAAATATTTAGAATAATGTAATTGTCAATTTACATAAAACTTATTTGATATTTTTATAGTTTTAGAAATTAATATAACATTGGCTTATAAATTTAGTGACCAAATTATTAACTTTCTGAAAAATGAAATGGTAGCTGTCAATGTTTACCTGGGCAATGACTGTGACTTTTAGAGTGGAAGTCCCAAATGGCAATACACTACTACTCGCAAGAGAGAGGTGGAGATTTTGAAGCAAGGCCATAATTTTGAGCACAATATCCTTTTGTTTGTGGCAGTGGATTCCAATGAGAACTTCCTTTTCCAACACCATAGCTTCAACCTGAGGTAGGGGTGCTGTGGTTCTATAGCCACCATAAGAGTTAATGGTCTCACGTGGCATGGCTTCCTCTTTTGGGCAGATTTGTGATTTCTTGATGAATATTCTGGAATCTGATGTTCTCCTCTTGTTCTGATCATTCTCTAGCTCTTTTACTCTCTCTTGAAGTTGTTTCATGTAAATCATTGCTTCTCCAAGTATATAGGCCTTCTCTGTCTGCATATTTACATGACAAGAGACCCTTTAATTAATTCATGGTTTATAAAGTCATGTAATACTCATCTGTGTGTTATGTTATGCAAACTTGAGATGATTACATGAAACCATGAGTCGGTATACCAAAAGTGTGTGATTAATAAACTAAGGCTAGACATTAATCCAATGAAAAATGTTTTTCTTATTTATTTATTTAATAAAGAGGTACGATTCTCTTTCATCAAAATGACTCTTATAAAGATAATGTAGTATTTTCAGTCGTAACTTCCGTAACTTCATGTTTAAACTGAAAATTGAATCATTGTTCTTAATTAAAAAGAACACGCGTCAAAATATTTAAATTAATAATTTTTATCATCAAAATTATGTTTGACTAATGAGTTACTTGATTTATGATGGAATTTCCTAAAAATATATAGTATGAATGTTTGGTTTGTGACAATAATGAGTTACTTGATTTTATGACGCAGTTTTCTAAAAATATATAGCATCCGAGTCTGGCTTGTCACAATTAGAACTTACAAATTTTAGCTATTACATGCCTTTCATGTATTTGATGCAATTTTGTGAACGGTTTAACTGTACTTTTTACTATTTATATTTTATGATTTTGTAAATTTCACTGCTTTTTTAATTTTTACATTGTGTCATCAATTTTATAAGAATTTGTAGATTTTGTTATTTTATTAGTTAATTATTTAGTGTTGTTAATTGACTAGTAACATGAAATTGTACGGGTTAGGTCACTCGACCATGTCCCTCGGCACATCTTTCGGCACATGCACCGAATGGCTCACACCGCCTGCTCGTCCCCCTCATCCGCATCGACTCGGCCGATGGCCGACGTGACGATATTAGGTCAGCGTGGCCAAAAGGCGATTTAGATCCAGTTGACATATGACTCGTCTCGGCTCACCAGAGTGCTTCTAGTTCCCGAGACCCATTCGACATTGACGATTGCCAAAAGGACCTAAAGAGCAATTTAGGGACCAGATAATCATCTTCAGTTAAGTGATTAAGGGATAATTGTGTGTACATACCAATTAACGGTGTATTACCTAATTTAGTAATCCTAGTACAAAGCCCAAGGAAGACAGGGTCCATTAATGTCAGTATAAATAGTTCACATCTCAAGGTAACGTCACTATTCATTAATTACTATCAATATTTGTGCTTGTCCTGACTTGAGCGTCAGAGTGCCTTTTATAGGTACCCTCCCCTCACCGGATATTCGCTTGGAGCTCTCGTTCGGCCTTCAAACTACCAGAAAATTACTAGTGTACCATTCAGACAGGTACATTTTGGCGCCCACCGTAGGGCCCAAACCGAGAGTTTTGTGAAGACAAGTTGACTAAGCTATAGCAATGGAAAAGATAAGGAAGACGAACATAGAAGACCACTGATCCGAGGGAGAAGAGGAACATGTGGAAGTCGTTGACGAAACGAACCTTTTAGAGACCATTTGTCAGCTGAAGGAAGAGATGGCCGCCATGAGACACCAAAGAGAAAAAGATGTTAGGGAACTTTCAGCCTTGAAAGCTGAGAATGCTGCCTTGAAGAGTCAAGACCCCTCATGGAAGCCCTCTCAACCAACCCCTACATAGACACAAGGATCTTCCAAATCCCTGGAGATCCACACCTCGGCTCCTCGCGCTTCGACCATCACACCAGAGAAAATCCCAACAATCAGTCGGTCAACCAGTGTTCAATCGGTTAGCGTACATCGACACCCTTTCACCTCGTCCATCATGCAATCGCCTTTGCTAGACCATTGGAAGGCTCTACTGATAGATAAGTACGATGGTACAATGGACCTCGATGAACATATTGACGTGTTTCTCATGCAAGTAACCCTGAGTACCACTGATGATGCTGCCTTATGTCAGATTTTTCTGACATCCTTAAAAGGACAGGCCCTAAGTTGGTTCACTTGGCTTTTGGTTAACTCGATTGACTCCTTTAGTACTTTATCATCACTATTCACCATCCAGTTTTCCACCAGCCGGCCACACCAACTGACTTCCCTGTCATTGGTCAGCATTCAACAAGATAAGAAAGAGTCACTTCAAGCCTTCATGGATCGGTTCAACAAGGCAGCACTAGAAATAAAGAACCTCAACCTAGCTGTAGCACTTCACCACCTCACCACAGCCTTAAAACTGGGGCCTTTTGTCAACAACATTTGCAAGAAACCCCCCATAGACATGGATGACCTGCGGATGAGGGTTGACAACCAAGCCTAAGCTGAACCCGTTGGCAAGATAGAGAAGCCGATGGATCAACCATTCCAAGGTCGAAACAAGGAGTTAACACTTTGGGAATGACCTGCACGTGGTCCGAAATACTCTCACTACACTCCCCTAAATGAAAGTCGAGCAGCGGTGCTCGAGCAAGCCCTGACATCGAAAGTATTGGCAGTCCCCAAGAGAGCATCAACTCCCCCGCGTGCTGATACGAACAAATCTTGCATGTATCATCGCAATCGTGGACACTCCACCGAGGAATGCGCGACTCTAAATGATAAAATTGAAGACTTGATCAAGCAGGGACAACTCCAAAATTTTGTTGATCAACCAACCACATCTCGGTCTTGGTTTGGTTACCAGCCTCGACACCTGACCATTACAAACAAGAGCGCTCTGAAAGGCATCGCCACGAGTGTAGCAGATCAAGGGATAGGAAGGAAGAACCCCAAACACCGCATAAGCATTTCATTAACACCATCGTAGGAGGGTTTGCAGGAGGAGGCACGACCTCATCTGCCCAAAAAAGACATTTGCGTGTTGTTCGATCAGTACATGTAGTCGATAGACAAGCTTCCAGAAGACTACCAGCAATAACCTTCACCGAGGCTAATTTTCGAGGCATTGATCCCATCCAGGATGACCCGATGGTCATCATTGTAGAAATACACAATTGCATAGTTAAGAAGACTTTGGTAGATCAAGGCAGTTCACCCGACATTCTATACTGGAATATCTTCAAGTAGCTTGGCATCCCCGAAGAGGAATTGGTTCCCCACAATGAACCGCTTGTCGACTTTTCAGGAGAAAGAGTCAGTACCAAGGGATACATCAAGCTATTCACTCGGTTTTGTTTCGATGAGAAAGAATATCGAGACATTCAAGTGAAGTACATTGTGTTACATGCTAACACGTCCTACAATATACTACTCGGTCGGACTTCATTGAACGCCCTAGGAGCCATTGTCTCAACACCACATCTTGCCATGAAACTTGAAGTTAGCAGAAAAACACATAAAAGGGGGGGGGGGTTGATTATGTTTGTGTGTGTGAACAAAGGTATTTTTGAAATCATTTTCACAAGAGTAATACTCTTTGTCCACTGCACTTTCAAATATCAGACGATGATGCAGAGTTTTCTTAATACAAGGATATTTCTTTTGAAAGATTTACCGTCTGCTGGAAAAATGGTTTATCATAATAATTATCGTTAAAAATGACTTTTTAGTTTAACATACTCATTGAGAAAAATTTACGTCTTCGTCTGAAAACTGGTTTTGATTAAGAATAGTAAACAAAGTTTTTCAACATTATTTGTTAATTAAGAGAAAATTTCATTTGAAATGTAAGTAGAGTAGTGCAATCATTTTTATACTGGTTCACTCAACTGAGCTACGTCTAGTCTCCTTCAACTAAAGGGTTCCACTAGATATGAAATGAAGAACATCGAGTATTATCGTCCACTCCTGGACCTGAGTATTCTCGACCACTCCTGGCCCTAAGTATTCTCGGCCACTCCTGGCCCTGGGTATTCTCGACCACTCCTGGCCCGTCGGCTTCACTCACCAACCGTTAGTATATTCTTTTCAACTACTTCTGGCTAGCAATGAGTGTTATGGACCACCCAGATCAGAACCACTCCTAGTCTAAGTATTCTCGACCAATCCTGGCCCACTAGCTTCACTCACTAGCGCTAGTATTCTTTGTTCAGCCACTTCTGGCTCTTAGTGAGTATTCTTTGACAAGCCCCTCCTTTCCCTAGCCTCTTCAGGCTTTACAACTGATAGATGTGTAGTCGGGTTTGAGTGCTTTGGGTTACTCTCATAGAGAGGATACATATGTGATCTACACTCACTAAGGTTTGTTCCTAAGATGTACACATTTTGACCTCCTTAGTTTATAGAGAGAAAGTTACGCCAAGGTACATTCGACTCTACTTGCTCTATCTCTAATTTTGTTACTTCATGGGCTGAATATAACTTTTCTTCATGCTTGCACCATTTCGGGCCAAACAGCCAGCTCTTTAAGGTTTGATGTTGAGGCTTATATAGTCTTGTGAAATCTGCCCGTTGCAATTATCCATTGAAGCACATATAGTCGTTTATGACTAGTTTGATCTTCTCATTTAATGCTTAGATTCTTGCATTAAATGTTGTTTCTTGTTCATAGACAATGCGTGAAGTTTCCTTGCTCTATTAGTAGCTGTGTCTGAATATAGCAGAGTCCTAGGAAACTTTTGTCCTTTTCTAATCCTATAGTTGTGGAACCTTTGTCCTTGCTTGAAAAAGTGATGTACTTTTTCTAACATATGCATGCTTTAGCATTTGAGCATGCTCTTCTTCTTTATTCTTCTCTTCTAATAATTCGAATGACTTCTTTTGTTCTTCTATGAGTGTAGACGATATTCAAATTGTCTTTTGAAGCTTGATTTCTCAGGTGATTGCGTGTCATTCTTCGTCTGCATCTAGTAGTCGGCATTTAGTTTAATACTTTGAACTTTGTCTGATCATCAACGTTTTGACTTTTTCTTTCGTCTTGGTCAACCTTATATATTGTCAGACTTTCCATTTCTTCTAGAGTTTCTTCTTGGTCGTTGACCATCTTCCGTTTGAGTCTTTATGTGCTACCTTAGATTGTGCTTGGCATGGTCTTGTTCTTGGTTTGGCTTGTTGAGTGCTTATGTTGGCCTTTCATTTTGTATTGTCTAATGCTTATGCCTCTTCATCATTTTACCTATTCTTATGTCTTTCTAAAACACTAACT